CTCAAGCATGCTGATTCTAGAATTTGTCGCCAAGAATTTTATTATCTTGATTCAAGCTGAATTTTTCTTGATGCAAGAAAAAAAATTCTCGGGTTAAGCAAAAAAGTAGTTTATTTTAAGCAGCAAAATTCTTGATTCAAGAAAAATACTTCTTGGCGGCAAATTTAAGATTCCTTTTTTTTCCAGTGCAATCTTTCAAGGGATTGCATTGATTTGCCTCTGCAAAAAGTAAAAAATACGGAAAAATTTCATGATTTTGACAAACTTTGAGGTAGGCACGAGCCTACCATTCAAAACCAACATTATTCAAAATTTTTCTCCTGTGGTTTTAATTTTTCATAGAGGTAATCAATCCTTGTAATCCCTGTAAGGGTCTATTTTCATATGGATGATGTTGAATTCTACTCCAGTTTCGTAAAAACGGTCTTCTTATAGTGTGTCTCCCGCTCAAAGGAACTTAAGTTTATTCCAAGGTTGCAACATTTTCTTCATTTTTTGAATTTTTTACAAACACATATTTTAGTGCAAAATTCTTCAGATTTCGGCACGGGATCAGAGTAAAAATCAGTGAAATTTTCTGTTAGAAATGCTCAGAATGTCACGGTAGAAATACAATTTGTGAGAGAAAATTTGGCAACATTGAAATGTAGATCTATGACCGCACTCTCAGGACAGTGGCTAGAAGGAGGAACTTGGCAACGGCACATACGCATGTCACCGTGTAAATGTATAAATGTTAAATGAAACTTTCGGATCAGATTGAGTTTATTTCGAACCGAAGCAAATATTGGGGAAAGCCGAGCGAGTAAATAAACAGACCCACGCACATCACCTCGTCAAAACCGGCTGTGTTATCCGCGAAAATTGGTTTTCCGAGCTTCATCCTAAAAAAAGTGCCGTCGCTTATTTAGGAAAAATTCCAAGCGAGGTTTCGTCGATGTCATTCTTTTTTGCAATAGTTTTAGAGTGGCTAAAAATTCATCGCATTCTCCATAAAAATTAAATTGGTAGCTCAACATTCAACAGGTCAAACCAATATGCATCCGCATTTTTCCGTTTTAATTTTTGTTTTCTTTTCATAGCGCGAACGGTATGAGGTTTTTCTTTTGTTTTACTCTTTTTTCATCCATGCTTCATTGAAAACAAGAAAGATACCAATTTTGATATTTTTATTTTATTTTATTTCATTTATTTACTTTTTTTTTTGGTCTTCTCTCGTACGTATTATTTCATAATAAACCCTATAATAATATGTATTGACTGACCATGCCATAAAATACGATATTTCTAAATCTTAAATAATTATTAAGATACGACTCACGCAGTGTGATGCCAGATGTATATCGATATCGATTTACGAGTTTTCGAGGAAACTTGTGGATATCCCCTCCCCCCCATTTTTCAGAGAATTCGATCAGCAATTTAATCCATAGTATTCGGCGATATCACAGACAAATATTCATAAATATCCTAAAAAATAAATGTTATAAAGGGAAATTTGGCAACATCTGGGTGTTCATACGGCACTTTTCCTCCGCACGGCAGCAATACCGGCAGCATTGTTATCGTTTTTGAATTGGCACATGCACCATTAGATTCCACGTGTAGTTGGGTGCTTTCATAAATGAGCCTGAAACGGGAGTCCCTTGAAGGGGGAAGGAGCATTGCGAGTTCACACCTAGAGCCAGTGCGCCTTCAATTTTGCAGATGCAACACGGACATCCATCATGTAAGAATAGTCGTATCTCTGCGCCGTCATCAATGCGCCTCCTTTTACTTTGCTCTATTTCCATACTGTGTTTGTTTCAGTTCGTCTCATTTGGACTGCATTTTGCAATTTGGAACTATAAATTCTGGCCCGGTTTAAAAACAACGTATGTGCCATTAGTTTCCTTATACACATAAGTGTTTTTTAAGATGAGAAAGAATTGATAGTTCCAAATTGCAAAATGCAGTCCATTTGTATATTTAGTGGTGCTTTAAAGACTGTATGAGCAACTCAGCCGTAATAATCGAGCCTCGTTTCTTAACTTGTCTCACGATACCTCATTGGCAGCACAAAGCGGAGCTGCGGAACATTGCGAATTTATAGCTCACGCCGTCGCACCTTCAATTTTGCAGATGCAACACAGACATCCATCTAGCACGAATAGTTGTATCTCTGGACCGTCTTTCCATTCGCTCTATATCCATATTGAGTTAGTTTCGTTTGTCTCATGTCGCACGGCAGTACTGCCGTGCTAAGGGAGAACGTCCTATGAAAATTCGATAGTTGCCAAATTCCCTCTCAGAAAATAGTTATTTTTGAAAGAAGTTATGAATATTTTTCCTTGAAATTTTCAGGAACTTTAGGTGATATTGCGGAAAAAATTATCTGAAAAATTGGAGGGAAAGTATTTACAAATTTTCCCGAAAATTCGAGTTTTATCAAAAAAAAATTGGCAACGCCTGAGGATTCATACGGCGTTTTTCCTTAGCACAGCAGTATAGAATGAAGGCACGACAAGATTGGCAACACGGTGGCAGAAAAACACGTCCCCGCGTAGTCGTCGACGTCGACATCGTGAGGGGAGGAAAATAAACAAACAAATAATAAATAACAAACTGGAATACATAAAAGTATATCGCGGAGGATAGAGGAATGCGTACGCAGATTAATGGCTGTCGACAACGACGACGACGTCAGACTGAAAATGTTAACCTCCCTGTCCGAACTCCGAGGGGCAATAATAAATGCCAAGACTTTCATCGTAATGAGAGGAGTGTGTACGTCGCTGCGCCCTCGATGGGAAAGCACGACTCGGAAAACATTATTATTGTTTTTGTTTTTTTCCTCATTTTTCCTCCCGAGGGTTGGAAAAGTTGAGTGCCACCCTAGTTATCTTCGCCTTAAAGTTATTTTTTTTTTTTTTTTAATTTTACGAACGCCTCTTATCTTTCGGTGGGATTTTCAATAATGCGAAGATAATTGGATTACATTTTACTATAAGGAGCCACTATCTCCGGCTCTTCTGTAAAATCACCTTTCTGCATAAGGAAACCAATGGCATATCAATTTTTTCTAAAAAAAAATATATATATGTTGTTTCTACATTTTAAAATAAGGAACCACTGTCTCTGGCTCTTGTGTAAAAGCACCTTTCTGCATAGGGAAACCAATGGCATATATGTTTGTTTCTAAAATGAACCAGAAATAGTAGTTCCTCTTTGCAAAGTATGGTCCAGTTAGGAGATGTCCTCTCCCCTCTGCTCCGTTTTATTTGAAAACGAGAAGGGCTTTTAGAATTGTGTGTGGAATTTGAGTTAAATTTAGTGACAAAATTACACCGCCTAGTTATGTGTAAGAAAAAAACGGTAAGAAATGTGGCCCGGACTGTCTTTCACAAGTTGGTAAAATAGCGTTAGGTCCACACTGTTTGCGGGGAAAGCAGCATCAATATTTCAAAAATTTCGATTAGAGTCAACAATTTTTGAGCTCTAATAGGTATTAATACAAGGCTGGGGAAGGGGGGGATTTCAGCTCCGGCAGGTACATCGGAATATTAAGGTGAGGTTTACGTTACGGGATCTGTATCGTTTTTGGTCTTCTTAGAACTCATCAGTAGATCACACTCTTCAGTGAAATGTTTAAACTTTTTTGCCTTGTTTAACTGCAAAAAAGAGGGGATCCAGTACTGTCGTGCTAAGGAAAAACGCCGTATGAGCCTTCAGATGTTGCCAAGTCTCCTCAAATAAGAACCAATTTACTGGAAAAATTCTGAAAATTATTTTCAAAAATTTTCAGATGATTTTGTGAGCAATTTAATCTAAAATATCTGAACATTTCAAGGAAAAATATGCATTAATTTTGTCCAATATACATGTTTTATCTGGGGAAATTTGGCAACTCTCGAATGTTTATACGGCGTTCTTCCCTAGCACGGCAGAGTACTACTTTACCTCCTTGTTACACACAAGGGGCCACATTTTTTAGTGTTTTTTTCTTATATGTGAGTATACCTACAGAAATAAATTAACAACAAGTAAACTAACACTCAAACTACACAAATCTCAGCAGATATTAATTATGAATGAACACTAATATTTTGAGTGTTGCGGCGTTGATGTACTTAAACTACTGAGAACAAGAGTTAGATCAAGTATTTAATGTCTTTTTTGATACTCGACATTTAAGGATCGATCTGGGAGACGGCGAAAGTTGTACATTCCTTGTAACTGTTCAAGCTACAGTAGAGGGAAAGGTCAAGATGACAAGAGGAACAAACTAACCGAATGAATCAAAATTTACATTAATAGACCGACGACACGCAATACTGCAATACCGCAGTGGCCGGACGGACTGCGGAAATGTAGCGTTAACCTCTTCCATCATTTCAACCTCTCCGAAGTTTGGCACACTTTATTACGTACTCACAGATCGAGATGAAAGAACTTCGACGACTTCAAGCTTGCGTGGGATGAAAAACGGGGATTAAAAGAATTTCGGGTGTATAAAATCGCACGAAAAGAACGTTTGCATATAAAAAATGTCAATAATGCAGACTGAATTGTACAATGCGCGTAGTTCAATTCACAGATTTTCTCATTTCCGGCATCTGCAGGTTTCTTTCTTACACTCTTTGATCTTTCAAGAGAAAGAGGTTTCCAGTAGTAAGTAGGTAAGTAAATAAGTAGAGACCTCAAGTTGAGAGTTGAGGAGTGAAACTCGGTGCTAAAGTCTGTATAGCACCCAAAAACCCCGAGTGATCTGAATGCGGAACGGGATTTATTCCTCTTACGGAGTGACTCTCACTCTTATGGAGCGGAATCTACGCTTTTTGCGGTATCGTGCGCTTTTGTGGCGCTAATTTTAATTCGCATCTCGCAACATAGTATACGTAAGGTAGTGCCTCGTTTTCGCTTAGTTTCAGGCGCTGAGAGGCAAGAGCTTAACTCTGAGGGTAAACTCCATGCGGAGAGGGAACCAAAGAGAAGTATGAAAGAAAATAAGACGTACACTCTTTTTACGTGAAACGGTGAAACTTTGCATTGCCATGTGATTTATTTATGGGAGACTACACGTATAAAAGATTAAACAGAAGTGAAATAACTTTATATAATAATAATACATATAATTACTATTTATTAGGACCCAATTTTATGACTGAATTTGGATTTTAATGAATAAGTCTTATAGATTAGCGAAACAATAATGACTTTCCCAGTTTCCTCTGATACTAACGAGAATATTGAAGGTCACTTGGGAGAAAGTAGAGTAAATTTTATTTTTTATAAAATAGAGATGTACAGTAAACCCAGAGATACAAATTAAAGATGACGAATCGTAAAATCTGGTGAACTTTACTACAACACCCTCGTTAAATACTATTGAAATGTGGCAAATGTTATCTCCATAAAATCCTTGATTAAATACTTCAAATGAGAACGTAAAAGTACATCCTTGGATTCTGTTAATTTACGGTTGCCATTTATTAGCTGACTCCGGCCAGTGTCTCTAATAATAATTAATTCTGAGACTTCTAGTCAAGCTGCAGAAAGAGAGACCCATGTTTGGACAGCGATTACCATAGGGGAACATTGCTCGTCGATTGGTTTGCAGCACCCTTCTATAAAAATTCATTTGAACTTAGTTACCTTCCATTAATTATGTTTAACTTTAAGAGAATCACCGATAACTTGGTTTTCTTTTCTGTTATCTCTTTTCCATATTAACAATGATTAGCTAACTAATGAAATAAATTATCCCTCCATGGCCAAGTTGCCATAATCATAAATGTATGTTCATGTATGTTCTTTAATCATAAATGGCTAAAAATACTCTATAAATTGTTCGGATTTTAATGGTGACACCATCGGTGACTTTTTACAAGAGCAAATCGACGGTGTAAGTCGGCAATCACATAATATCGGTTTGCGACGTCGCAGACTTCCTGTCATACTTTATTTTTTAAACGGAAAACTACTCAACGGCAATTCTTTAAAACTGCCGTGATGAGAAACGGATGAGAAAATCTGTGCGAAAAAAAGTCTGCAGAAACTTCAAGGAACGATATCAATTTGTTCTCCTTCAAAAAAATAACATAGAGGCGGAGATTTTTAGACACCACAAACGAGATATATGATTGCGGACTTACGGCGGCGTCCAAATGCTGAAGTATATCCATCACTTTTAAAGTCCATCACTTTGCAGACCTACAATGTTCTCTTTCGCTAAAACTACCAATTTTGTCGAGTACTTTGCCTAAATGAAAAGAAACCACAAAATACTCCTAACTATGATGTAAAATATGTAAAAGACGACTATTACCTTTGGTTTTTTTTATTTTTTAATGGTTTATTTAATTATTTTTTTTTCAAGGTAAAAGTTTCCAAACTTAGTTACAACAAGCAATCTGTCAATTTGCCTTCAAAATTGCGTCGCACTACTAAAGCCTACCATTATTCCACTCACGAGTGGAATTGGTTCAGTTTATGTTTGTAAGAATACCCAGCTTATATTGTATTTTCCCCGTGATCACTATCATATTCATACAACCAAGTGGCAATGGAGGATTTAAAATCGGTAGAGATGTGGTCATAAGCGGTTGTAATTTCAACCCTTGTACGACTTCCTGAGTAATAATCTCCAGTGTTTTCCTTAACAACGTCATACAGCTTGAGCAAACGGACTTTGCGTGCATTTGACAGTAGACTCTTTTTCATTCTTCGGTAAAGCATGATGCACTGATTTCGGATAGGAACCGTCTCATTCCTAAAACAAACAAAAAATATGTATGAATCAAAATTAGACAATGGAGCAAGATTAGTGACGAATTTGTAACCTCGACCTAGAAACTTTAAGACACTAAAATCTCTCAGAGCACCCAGGCCTTTACTGCTGCCTTAAAACTTGTGAATTATATGTTTCCTATAGGTACTATAAGCTCCTAAATTTTCATTTTTGGTAACGCTTAGTCCTAGCATTCTACCGGGCCGATGTTTATGACTTTTGCGGCTATCGACAGGCAATTGTCTCTAGATAAGCCCACGTATTAAGAATTTGATAATATGACCCAGGTTTTCGTATGTAACGTGGTTTGTTCCTGCATCTTTTCCTCACTTTTGCATACCCTCCTCTACCCCCTCCTCTCCTCCAAGAATTTACGCGAGTAAAACTTATTAAATGCAGTACAGTTGTGTTTTGCTATACTTTTTCATAGAGTAATGCAAATCAGTTCGTTGTTTCCAGAAAAATGTCGTTTCCAAAAATGCTATAACGAGAAACGATTCACCGCAACTTGGAAAAATGAACTTTTATCCCGAAAAAACGGTACATCGAGATTAATTATAACGAGGTACAACTATATATGACCAGAGAAATTTAGACATTTCTGACTGTTATAGTTTTGTGCGCAAGTATACCCTCCATTTCCAGGCTTATTTTTTCTTCGTGCAATCATTAAAATATAATTAAATATATTTGCACGTTTTGTTCTAATGAAATCTTAAGGGATTCAAGTTTGAAAGAGGAATCTTTTACTCGTCGGTTCTCTGCAGCAAAAGAGTTCTAATTCCCTAAGAGATCCCTATCTCTGCGCTAAAGCATACGCATGCTCATAGTCACCATTTCACACACTTATTTCATCTTTAAACTGATTTGAAAAACTGAAATTATTGAAACTGAGGACTATAAAATGAGAAATCTGCAAGTACTTTTGTTTCATCCTCTATAGAATTTGAGGAATCAATGATTTTGTCTACGATAGATTAACCTGTAAACCCCAGAAGATAATGAATTGACCGTTTTAGCACTCACCTGTATAAGATGTCACGGGAGTAATAAAGGTGCACTGTTATAATTATTTTTAAAGTTTCGGAATTTAACACCTGATTTCTGTAATATGGGTTTGAGGGTAAGGGTATAAGTCCTCCAAAAAGCGGGTTCCGTAGTACATGTGGCTCAACGACCAGAACCTCTTCTGGAGAGGTGCTATCGACTTGCTTCATTTCTTTTCGGACAAAAATCGGTCTCTCTCCAGTGAGGCCCAAGTGAGGAAACACGTAAGCTACTCTGCAGATACAGAAAAAATATGAGACAAGTATTTTAACAAACGCAGAAATAGTCATTATAAAATTCTTGCCTCCTTATTTACTTCCTTTTTAATGGGTCATTTGCACTGGTCACAGAATCGAGTTTTGATGCTTGATACTTGAAAATCAGCGAAAAATGATACGATCTGTCCAAACAGCAACTTTCCACGTTCAATATTCACGGAGATATCGTGCTTTGAAAAATTCATATTATTGCGTCATCCATGCACCGCGGTAGTGACACCCTTGGTTCCTTCCACCTGGCTCTGCTCAATTAGTGAGACACACATTTGCACTGATTACTCAACTTGAAACTTGGAAGAAAGCAAGGTGGAAGAGACCAAGGTTGTCACTACCGCGGTGGGTGACGTCATTGGACGCATTTTTCAAAGCACCGATATCTCTGTTAATATTGAACGTAGAAAGTTGCTGTTTGGATAGATCGTATTGTTTTTCGCTGATCTACAAGTTTTAAACATTAAAACACAATTCTGAGACCAGTGCAACGGACTGATCAACGGAATTTCCATACTTTAACGGTAACATATCAAGTTTCGGTCCTTGACGTGCATTTTCCGTGAATATTTAGGTATATAAAATGACGCGCTAATCCACAAATATCACGAAAGGTAAAATTGAGGAAAAATAGTGTTTCCTGCTGACGGGTTTATTTATCATGATTTTTTTTAAAATTTATTTATTAGATTAGATATGAGAATTTTTAGAGACACAGAACGGATGGATGCTTAAGGAATTTCGGAAGCGGTTTGAAAGATTTTCATGAAAGTTTTTAGGACGGTTTCATAAGACGTGTTGTATTACTGATTTGACAAGTAACTTCATCATGAGAGAGAGACTGAAGTAAGTTTGAATATTCAAACAAATAACCTTGAAAGAGAGACGCAGTCAGGAACTTCACAAGCAGCAGAAATGTTGTATTTTTTCCTCAGAAATGTTACTCTTTGTCCTGGGTCTGATCCATAGTTCCCTTTGACATTTGAGTACTGCTCTTTTTCCAAGGAGATCAAATCCGCCATCTCCTCCAAGAACTGAACCGGAGGTGTGCTCCAGTAAGCAGCCTTCTCTATCAACATTCTTGAAATGTTACCGGAATCAAAATCATGGAGATACTCCAGTGCAATACTGCTCTTGTTGTTGTAGTAGTCAAGCATATACTCGAAGTCATCATCCTTTAAGGAACCATTGATTCTCTCCATGTACGAGACAAAGTCTATAATTGGAGGGATGGTTGGACTCGCAGCCTCATGATTTAAGCTATTCGAGTTTGTATATGGATCCGCAGATTGAGAATTATTCGATGCTGAAAAAGGAAACTTATTTCTAGAGGTAGAAATGAATCAAGCCGCATTAGGTTGGACCCTTTTTTTTTGGAAAAAAAAATGCTCTGAAACTAAAATATTGTTCCTAAATCTTGAATTAGCTACGATAGTAAATATACGCCTAGCTCAGCTTTGAACAATTCTTCATTTAATTTTTCTAGCATATGAGTTGGCTCCTTCTTTTTTTATCTCGTTGTGGCTTTACTGAACAAATCATCAAAGGAGGGGAATCGATAACGGTCGTTTTTGGGCCCACCCTCGCTGATTTTCCTTTGACTCGACAATTTTCGTATCATCAAGGGTCAACATTTTTAGAATGTATCAGAATTTGGTCATTTTCGGTCTCTTTTCGGCGCTAACAGGAATCTGAGGGCTGATTTTGGTACAAGAAAAAAGAAAAAAAGTGATTTTTCGGAATTTGGCTGCACATCCGCCAGACCCTCATTTTTTGCCAACATTGGCTTTTAGACCAATATTTAGGTCAATATTAGACCCGAATAGGTGGAGCCATAAACGACTCTTATTGATACCCCTAATTTTATAGAGTACAAGGTTGAATAGAATTTTGAGAAACTGTGAGGAGCCTTTTGAAATTTTAACAAGGTGGAGAAATGGTGCTGGGTCCACACTATTTTGCGGGGAAACAAAGCCAAGAAATACCAAAAATTAAAGTAGAGTCAAAAATAAATTTTTAGAACTCTAATGCGCACCATTACGAAACTAAGGAGGGAGAGTGTTCAGCTCAGGCAGTTTGCATTGGAATATTAAGTTGGAGTCTCAGTGTTTAATTTTTTTCTTTTGAAATTTTGCGGTTTATCCACGTAAGGTAAGGAAATAAAACTTAGGCGAAAAGGCAACTGTAAATTAGGATTGAAGGAGAAAACATGCATTAGAAGACATTAGTACAATCGTAACTGGAAATCTTAGCCAAAAAACTGATTATGTCAATGTAAGGTTTTTTTTTTTTTTTTTTTTTTTTTTTTTTTTTTTTTTAATGCGACGAGAAAATATTAATCAAAAGAATGTTTCTTTCTTTGGCTTTTGTTTCTGTAGGAACAGAAAAATCACTGCTGTATAAAAAATTCTCACCGGAAAACAAATATGTTTTCTAGTAATTAAATTTTTATTTTGAATTTTTTCTTCTTCAAATGTCGGTAAATGGGGGAGAGTTAATTGTTTTACGCATTTGAAGTGACAAATAAGAAATCAAGTCTATGTTAAAATTATGAATCCAGAATGTCTTGTAAGACATTCTGGATTGATAGAGAGGAAAGTCAAACGGCGTCTGTATACTTTTCCCATCGATCCAGTGATTTGAGTGAAAGACAGCATTAAAATCTATACTGTCACATCATTTTGTGTTTTTTTGTTTTTTTTCTGTAGTTTTTTAAATACAAGTAAAAACTGGACGTACCGTTGGCGATACCAATCAAGAATGCCGTAGCACAGAAACTGTAGTAATAGTAAATGTTAATTCTTCCGTGTTGCATTGTGGATTGTATTTTCAGGTAGTGATAATGATAAGACCTACTTCATGAAAACAAAACCTATACTTGTATTCAGGATTGATCTACAACAAAACATCCATAAAACACAATTGTGAGAAATTTTAGGCGGTTATGGCGTTTTAGGCGGATATGGAGACGCCATGGAAACATCTCTTTCGTCTATGTTCGTGGCGAGGTTATCAAGGGTATAATTTTGGAGAAAAATTTTATCATACACAAATATGGGTGAAGAAGTGAAAAAACGGTCAAAAATGCCTCCACGCATTTTCCAATTTTGAACGCTTAACGTGATTAAGTATCCTCCGAGACGCCTTGAGCTGTGGTCACGGTTTTGCTCAGAAACGCTGGACTGCGACGTCGCCATTTTTCAAAGTGAAAACCTCCTAAAACTTCATAACTCCTCTGCATCTCAACCGATTTCGATGGATTTTTCCTAAGTGTTCCTTTTAAGTAAAGCTCTCTAATTGGTGTATATGTATTTGGGTTTATTGTCACTGGGCGGCACTTAGGCGGTTTCATCAGTTTCTGGTAAACACAGAAATTTGGTTTTCATTTTACTGCAATCATAAAAACGACGAAATCTGAACAAAACGCCGTTTAAATAAAAGGACAGTCCTTTACCTTCATAACGAGCTGTAAGATCACCCCGGGGGAACGTCTAGTTTCCGAGATACGACCACTCCAAGTTGATCAAAGTCGTTTTCAAGCAATCAGGAACCAATTGCAGGACTGCACGGTTATCAATGAATCGTGCAGCAGGGATCTCATATAATACATTTATTACAAGGAGCAGTCAGACATCCGCATTAGAGATTTTTTTGGCCCAGGCTTTAGGGTTGCGACGTTGCCATTATTTTAAGCGAAAATCATTTCAATCAAACGCGATCAAATTAAAAATTCTAAACTCTGCTGCATTTGAACCGAATTTGATTAACCGTTTTTTTTAAAAACAATTTTACGCTTAAATAGAGCTTTCCAGTGGTGAGAAAGATGATATAGGTTTACTCAGCACTGGGCCACAATTACGCGGTTTTAACGGTTCTATTTAGGAAATATCTAATGGAACGTTTCACGAACATCAACGTTATCCATGTTATACATAAAAACAACAGTTTTTGAAAACTATAAAATAGGTACGTACTTTTATGCAAAAAATAAGATAAGGACTTACTCTGTTAATGAATCTGGTCACCACGTGTGCGTTTCAAGACGTATATGAGCAGCTCATAAAAAAATATCACAACATATTGAGCTTTGAAATTGGACACAACACATAACACTGAAGAATGGGCACCCTGAAGATAGATTGATGTTGCTTCTCCTCTGGAAGATGCAAGTTCTGTTCAGATAATGAGGACACTTGATCGATTGCGGCATTCTTTCTTATCAAATATGCTCTCCGATTCCTTGAGTACCCATATTATTTTAAGGTAAATAATGTGAAGATAAAACAAATATGATGAAAAATTTCTCTGATTAGCTTTGAATGAGACGGAACTATTAAAAAGATGAGGGAGAAATTTCGTAATTGGACCGCGTTTAGCGGGAAGGAACACACAGCCACATCAGGTATTGCTAAAAACGGGGCAATTTGATTTTTACAAGACAACATTTGTGCAGATTCCTTTAAAAATGTTTGGGACCTTGCTTCACACTATACAGAAAATTCACTGAAATTTTCACAAAAATCCGCACGACCGTTGTCATGTAAAAAATTAAATCGCCCAATAAAATTTAGCAATAGCTGATGTGGCTTGGTCCCTCCCTGCTTAACGCGGTCCAATTATTGATCCACATTCTTACGAAGATAAGATCTAAAACAAAGTCAATATTACTTGGACTATACTCTAAGGGTATCTTAGACTGTCCTTTTTCGTAGTCCTATTGGAATAATGCGAGATCGTCCATAGAGTCTTTCATATCACTCGGGGTTTTTGGGCGCTTTATACAGTATATAGACTCCGGCATCGAATTTCATTCCTCGACTTTTAACAGTGTAGTTGCGGGGAATTATATTTACCCCCAGGGAGATGTGAGGAGTCCTAACTTAAACTGAACAATCTTAGCATTCTATCGTCCTTTGACTGAGAATAAGCCCTGTTTGCCCAACCATTATTGTATCAGACATGTTTAAAATGAATAAAATTGATGAAAAGTTATCAAATCGATAAAATTCACACAAATTTGTGTTTATCCTATAACGGGTAGGCGTCAAAAATAAAAACTTAAAACACATTCATTCGCCATCTGGGGACGAGAGTCACCTCAATGTCCATTTTAATCGGGCAACAATCAGTTTTGCAAATTTTAATTGACATTTTTCGATAAGATTTCGATAGTTTCAAAATATTTTCATTTTAAATGCCCAAAGTGGCAAGAATGGATTCCTCGCTCGGGCATCGACCATATGTTAGACGCTAAAAATCCATTCTCGTTCAACCGCAAAAACTACTTCGAAGTCTTAAAGGCGAAAAACCACGTGCTATTTCTATGGCCACACACTTTATCATTATAAGATATGTATGTTTTTCCCATTTTTTACAGCTCGTCCGGTAAGTGCTGATTACCTTTCGATGTATTTAAGTATAAAAAATGCGTTACCCCAAGAGAAAAGCTATTATTCATCTAGTGATAATATTCAGAGCAGGCAACATCACTTGGACAATTCCATTCAAGTGTAGAGGGAAGAACTACGTATGCCCAGGTCTATTCCAAATTTAGAACATTTTTGCGCAGAAGCAACGGCTGTAGTTTGTAATACTACTCAGATTGTACAAAATATTTTATCATATTAGTAGCGGTATACGTATAGTATTACAAGCTGAGAGAAAAATGATTGAAGATAACGTTAATTTGTATATATCTTGCAGCAAACCTCACAAAAACACCTGCCGATAATTTCCACGGCAAGACGAGGATAAATTCGATAGACTTCGGAGGTGAAAATTTCGGTAGGACCCCCGCATTGTTCAGTCGGAAGCCGAGCACGAAGTTGCAGAATCTGAGGAGCATTGCAGAAGCTTCCACGTCATTTCTACGAAGAATGGCTCAATTACGAGTCTGAGCCTTTGCCGAAGGAGCACAAAGGCTTCATCGCGACCCAGGTCAAAGCGTCGTCCCTCAGACTCCAGGGCGTAACTGCAATTTCAAATAAACCCTGTCGCTCGTCTTAATATACACCTGACAAAGCTCAGACAGGAGTGCAGATACGTCTTTTCGCCGTGAGAGCAACGAAAGTTGCCGAAATCTAATCGGCGGGCGCTTTTCGGCATCGGAACTTCGACCCGAAGATCCGCGACCCGGGACTCGGGTAGCCGCGCGAATTCGCCGAACAATGCGGCGACGAATTTACGAGTTCCCGACGCTTTTTACCCGACAATAAACCGCTGGAAATTATATTGTTAGCGAGTGTTAAACTGCTCCGCTGCGCCCCCGCCCGCTCCTCTCCCTCNGGGGGGGGGGGGGGGGGCCTTTGAAATGCCGCGCGACCTTCTATTTATTTATTATCGGGGTCTCTGTTTATCGGCTCCGGGAAGTCACCGGGCTTTTGTTCCTCCCGGCGAGTCCTTGGCCACTACAGTGTGGAAGAAATTGGACACAATGTTGGGAGTATTGGAAACTTTCGTTCTGAGATACGAAAATTTGGCGTTTTAACGATCCAAGTGGTGGATGGACATGATGAAAACCCCATGTTCAATGAACACAACGTTGTATTCGGTGAAAACTGATCCTGATTGTCTTGATTGCGTAAGCAAAAACCGTGCCACGGCCGGGCTCTCTTTCGCGCGGTTCTAAAACGACATAATTCTCCTTTCTTGCGATCACCTTTAAGTTATTTTACTTAATTTCATAAAAGGCAAAAACCGTGCCCCGATCGGACTTTTTTTAGCGTGGTTCTAAAATGACATGTTTCTCCTTTCTTGCGATCAGCCTTTAAGTTATTTTACTTAAGTTCTTAAGCCTTAAGTTCTTGGGTCCTGCTTTCCGCTTGCTTTCCTGCCGTTCTTTTCAACAGTGACATAATCAAATACGCTGCACAGAGGAACGATTCTCTGGAAGAAGTCGAAATTGAAATTTTTGACAAAAATTGTAAAATTTTACGTTTATCTCGTCACAATTTTTATTTTAAGAGGTACTTTATGTAAAAAAAAAAAAAAAAAATCACGAAAAAACCAATGAAACTTCTTTTAAACCATCAAAATTTCATATTTATGAAGATATACGCGTTCAAAGTTTTTAAATCATGTCCGACCTCTCCTATCGACTCGATCCACTTTACGCCGTGCCTTGCATTGGGTCATTTGCTAAGCACCTTTTACCGAGTTCACTGAAAAAAATGAGTTAGCGTCAGATGACTAAAAATGGTTTCTATACACTAACTCATATTGTGTGATTTGGACACACATGATTTTTGGTTTCTGTACACTAACCACAATTAGTGCTGGGAACTAATTCCGCTACTATAATTCGCATTCGGTAGGGTTGGGTCAACCTAACCTCAAAACTGAGAGAGGAGAAAACGGCTTAGCGAATGATAACTGGACAATACTTTCAGGAAAAGAAGATTTCTTAAAAGATGAGAGGTAAAAATCAACTGACCGGTTCCAAATGAACGACAGAGGAAAGGAATATCCCATAGGTATGTGCAAGTAGACAGAATTATCCTTTAGAGAGACACACACTCACACATGAAACGGTAGCGAATGTTCACACTGAATAAACATATCTCGTCCGAACACTTGAGATATTCTTTTTAAATTACGGGAGAACACGAACTATAGAAGTAAGCAGTAAGTTCACAGATTTTCGTAAAATATAAACTGAACGCGGAACGCTTTAATCGCAATTTAATACAGAAGATTGACGACTCCAACGAATATCATGCTTGTTTACGTTTTATCGAACAGACGATTTCTAACCTTAACAGGTTTATTTATGTTGCTTTCGAACGTTTTCAAGAACGAGAGGACACTATAAATCATACCGGGAGTATTTTCATTGTCAAACGAGCCCGAAATTTCACATTTTAATTGATTTTCACGAGCTGACGCGATTGAGGCTGTTGTACCGACGCCACTTTTTCGAAACTAAATAAATGTAACGGACAATGTGGCAGTTAGTGTTGAGGGCGAATTAGTTTGACCCGAAGGTGAATTTGTCTTACCACAGCGCTAATTTTACAGCTAGTGCTGTTTTCCAATTCTGGTTCGCGCTCTAGTAAAGTCAAGTCAGCGTATGAAGCGAATTGATTGGTGCTTCAGTACAATAAATTAGTTCTGAAGCCTAATTTTGATTCTACTTGGCGAGAACTTACCAAATTAGTTCTCAACGCTAACTACTTTTTTTTCAGTGTTGTAGGTCCAAAAAAGCATGGTTTTACATGTAAAAGATGCCTCACATGGAAATTGAGATACACCTTTTAGTCCTTAGGGTAACATATGCTCGGCAACACGGTAGCGTACGGCGAAATTCGTCGGGGGATATTAGCCGTGCACAATCCACATGCTCCTGCGATTCCTACATGCGAACTCGTCTCGAAGACAGCTCTCCTGGCGGGATCTGGGACTTGGGACAGGGAGCGCGGACCCTCCCCCTCCCCCCTCCCCCTCCCCCCNGGCCGGGGGCAAAAAATGATAGCTCATAAATAAAACACCGAAACCGCCCCTCCCGCCCACCGCCGAACGGGGGCTCTTTTTTCGCCTCGCCTCGTAATCGTGAGATTAAATAGTAAACACGAGTAGCTGCATCGCCATTGCCACACTTTGCTGGGAATCAGTCGTTTCCCCGTTCAAGTTCCGTGCGAAAAACGCGATTTTATCGCAATATCTGGCGGCCTCGTGCTGCAGTGTGGTTGCCTGATCGAGCAGGAAATTAGCAATTTTTCTCGTGTGAATTAATGTAAAATCTGTGGGTGGGCCTTTGTACAAAGTGTGGACTAATACACTTGTGAGTTTTATATGGTCAAAAAAATCAGGGAATTTTGTGGAAATAGACTGAAAATTTGTCCGATGAATGGTTTCAATGAGTTTCGTACATTCGAACGCTTTTTTGTACGTAAAAATCAGCGCTGTCCACATGATCAAGCTAAGCCGTAGTTTGTTTCAGAGCTCAATGTTTTGAGTTACTTCCTGAATTAAGAGAGCTATATTCATCCTCAATGTGGAATCACGGCTTTGATAAGTTGAATGATGCATGCCTAAAGGTCAAAAGTTTTGCCATTTGGAGCTGAACAAAGAAAAAATAATGCTCATTTTCAGATATACTGTTGCAAAATATCGATGTAAAAATTCAGGGTAATTTTCATAATTTTGGTGATGGGA